AGGCAGGCAGGATATGGGGCCATGCCAGGGAGTGCCTGGGTATGGGGGGGAGGGCACTGTCCGGGATCATTGGCGGCAGTGCCAGGGAGCGGGTGGGGGGGCACTGGGGGCAGTGACAGGGAGCCCTGGGGGCAGGCAGGGGAGGGGTCAATGCCAGGGAGCAGCAGGGACAGAGCTGGCGCTAGGCATAAGCAGACTAAGACGTAGGGCCCTGAGCAGTTCAAGGCAGCACTTTATTTGCTTTTTTAGTGTGTGTTGTGTGAGGGGGTTCCCCGGGGGCCCCCCACAAAATTATTCCTGCTTAGGGCCCCCAGTGGGCTAGCACCACCTCTGAGTAGGGGCAGGGCTGGGTAGCAGGCAGTGCCAGGGAGCATTCGGGGCAGGTGGAGGAGGGGGTGTTAGTGTTAGGAGCTGGACATCAGTGCCTGAGAGTTGTAGGGGCAGGGGCAGGTGGCAGGCAAGGTTGGGGTTAGTGCCAATGAGCAAAAGGGACCGGGCCATGGGGCATTGGAGCAGGCAGGGGGTGGGTGGGGCAGGTAGGGGATGGGTAGGTCAGGGAAGCGTTAGAGGCAGGCAGGGGGTGGGTGGGGCAGGGAAGCGTTAGGGGCAGGTGGGTGTTGGGTGGGGCAGGCGGGGGGTGGGTGGTTTAGGGGAGTGTTAGGAGCTGAACGTCAGTGCCGGGGGATTGGTGCTGGGGAAATGGCCGGGACAGGTTTTGCCTCATGTGGTGGGTGGGCTACAAACTCCCTGGGCTTCCACCTGTGTGGCACAAATCGAGGTCACAACCCTTGCATTCCCCTCACCTGCCCCAGGCAGGGTCCCTACCGGGAGGAGGGCATTACTAGAAACACTGTACCATGTCTCCGAGTGTTGCTTGCCTAGGGAGTGGGGGAGCATGGGGCCCTCTGTCTAGGTTTCTAGGTTGTTATAAGGTCACTCCTCCCTGTGATGTGTCAGTGCCACCTTCCTACGCTGCCCACCCTGTAAACTCCCTCTTCCCTGACTCTGAGGCCAGGTCTGCACTGTAGCAGAGATACGGTGCGTCGCTATGCTGGCATAATCCCATAGTGCAGACAGAAAGGGGGTTCCAAAGAGGATGGAGCTGGGCTGTTCTCAGTGGTGGCAGATGGCAGAACAAGGAGCAATGGTCTCAAGTTGCAGTGAGGGAGGTCTAGGTTGGATATTAGGAAACACTATTTCACTAGGAGGGCGGTGAAGCACTGGAATGTTTACCTAGGGAGGTGGTGGAATCTCCTTCCTTAGAGGTTTTTAAGGCCCGGCTTGACAAAGCCTTGGCTGGGATGATTTAGTTGGGGTTGGTCCTGCTTTGAGCAGGGGGTTGGACTAGATGACCTCCTGAGGTCCCTTCCAACCCTGATATTCTATGACTGCAGCAATAGAAGGTGTTTTTCCGTCAGTGTAAGAACTCCACCTTCCCGAGTGAACGGAGCAAGGTCGACAGAAGCAGCAAACCTGGAGCATGGACTTTTCCCACCCCTGAGCGCCAACCTGTGTAGACCAGATCTCAGTATTCACTCTCTCTAACTCCTCACAGCCCAGATTTCTTTCTTTGCCTGCTCCCTCTGTCTCTAAGCTGTGCCATTATTATTATTTATCACAGAAGCTCCAGGACAGGACTTTATTGCAAAGAGCACCTCATGAACATGTAGCAAGTGACAGTCTGTTTCTATAAAAACAGGGCATCATGGGGGATAAGGCAAACAGGGGAATGAGGAGGGGAGGGGATGAAATCTTGGCTTCCTTCCAGGCTGATAGCAAATCTCTCCTGGACTTTCAGTGAGGCCAGTGTTTGCTCAATTAATAGCCAGTCAGTAGCAGTAATCACAACTCTGTCTTTCTGTGACTTGGGTTATCACTTGTTAACTATCACCCCAGCTCGGCAGCTTTGTCTCTCCTGTGTGGCTTCGTCTCCGTCATCAGCTACCCCAAATCAAGGGACTTCACAAATAAACAGCTGATCTAGTTCCTTTTTGTGCTTGGGAAACCTTTACCCAAACCTTCTCCTAATGGATCTCTCCCGCCCGCTGTCCAATCCAAATCACCATATGTTCTGCACTGCAGAGTTAGGAAAACACTACTTGTGTATGAAAACAAAACGTCATTTGGGGTCATTTCAAGCCTCTTCTGGCAAGGATTGTGATGACCAGTGTGAGATGCAGGCTTTCAGTAGAGATCTTACCTGACGCTCCTTGGTGAACTAAGGTGTAAACACCAGACCAAGAGAATCGCTGTAACCTTTATCTACCCCTGTGCCCTCTGCCAGCTGGCATCATGAGGTCCTTGGTTCAGAGGGTGGGTGGCTTAGTGGTTAGAGCACAAGACGGGGAGTCGAGAGCTCTGTGCTACTCTTGGCTCTGCCACTGATCCCCTGAGTTATCCTGGTCAAGTCATGTCCCTGCCCCGTGCCTCAGTTTCCCCAGGATTCTCCCCTGCCTTCCAGGGTGGTTCTAGAGCAGTTAGAGATCCTGGGAAGGAAGTGGCTACAGAGAGGCAAAGTGTTTATTCTCCCTGGCTCCTGCGTGCTTCCAATTGGCAGATAAAGCTGATTACAGTTAAAGCCGAGTGTCTCTCGTTTGGGGTATAGATGACCCTGTTAGGGGACAGCCAAAAAGTGACGAGTTTTTAAAGTGCTTATATACCAATGCTAGAAGTCTAAATAATAAGATGGGTGAACTAGAGTGCCTCATATTCAATGAGGATATTGATATAATAGGCATCACAGAAACCTGATGGAATGAGGATAATCAATGGGACACATTAATACCAGGGTACAAAATATACTGGAAGGACAGAACAGGTCGTGCTGGTGGGGGAGGGGCACTAGATGTGAAAGAAAGCGTAGAATCAAATGAAGTAATAATCTTAAATGAACTAAATTGTACTATAGAATCTCTATGGATAGTAATTCCATGCTTGAAAAATAAGAATATAGCAGTCGGGCTATATTACAGACCACCTGCCCAGGATGGTGATAGTGACTCTGAAATGCTCAGGGAGATTAGAGAGGCTATTAAAATAAAAAACTCAATAATAATAATGGGGGATTTCAACTCTCCCCATACTGACTGGGTACAGTCACCTCAGGACGGGATGCTGAGATAAAATTTCTTGACACCTTAAATAACTGCTTCTTGGAGCAGCTGGTCCTGGAACCCACAAGGGGAGAGGCAATTCTTGATTTAGTCCTAAGTGCAGCACAGGATCAGGTCCAAGAGGTGAATATAGCTGGACTGCTTGGTAATAGTGACCGTAATATAATTAAATTTAACATCCCTGTGGCAGGGAAAACACCTCAGCAGCCCAACACTGTAGCATTTCATTTCAGAAACGGGAACTACACAAAAATGAGGAGGTTAGTGAAACAGAAATTAAAAGGTTCAGCGCCAAAAGTAAAATCCCTGCAAGCTGCATGGAAATTTTTGAAAGACACCATAATAGAGGCCCAACTTCAATGTATACCTCAAATTAAGAAACACAGTAAGAGAACCAAAAAAGAGCCACCGTGGCTAAACAAAGTAAAAGAAGCAGTGAGAGGCAAAAAGGCATCCTTTAAAAAGTGGAAGTTAAATCCTAATGAGGAAAATAGAAAAGAGCATAAACTCTGGCAAATGAAGTGTAAAAATATAATTAGGAAGGCCAAAAAAGAATTTGAAGAACAGCTAGCCAAAGACTCCAAAAGTAAGTGCAAAATGTTTTTTAAATAGATCAGAAGCAGGAACCCTGCTAACCAACCAGTGGGGCCATCAAGATGCTAAAGGAGCACTCAAAGACGATAAGGTCATTGCGGAGAAACTAAATGAATTCTGTGCATTGGTCTTCACTGTTGAGGATGTGAAGGAGATTCCCAAACCTGAGCCATTCTTTTTGGGCGACAGATCTGAGGAACTGTCCCAAATTGAGGTGTCATTAGAGGAGGTTTTTAAACAAATTGATAAACTAGATCTCACAAAACTAAATGATTGGGCAACAAAATGGCAGATGAAATTCAGTGTGAATAAATTAAAGTAATGCACATTGGAAAAAAATAACCCCAACTATACATACAATATGATGGGGGCTAATTTAGCTACAACTAATCAGGAAAGAAATCTTGGAGTCATCGTGAATAGTTCTCTGAAGACGTCCACGCAGTGTGCAGCGGCAGTCAAAAAAGCAAACAGGATGTAAGGAATCATTTAAAAAGGAATAGAGAATAAGACAGAGACTATCTTATTGCCCTTATATAAATCCATGGTACACCCACATCTTGAATACTGCGTATAGATGTGGTCGTCTCATCTGAATATATATATATATATATACTGACATTAGAAAAGGTTCAGAGAAGGGTAACTCAAATGATTAGGGGTTTAGAACGGGTCCCATATAAGGAGAGATTAAAGGGGCTAGGACTTTTCAGCTTGGAAAAGAGGAGACTAAGGGGGGATATGATAGAAGTATATAAAATCATGAGTGGTATGGAGAAAGTGAATAAGGAAAAGTTATTTACTTGTTCCCATAATATAAGAACCAGGGGCCACCAAATGAAATTAATGCGCAATGGGTTTAAAACAAATAAAAGGAAGTTCTTCTTCACACAGTGCACAGTCAACGTGTGGAACTCCTTGCCTGAGGAGGTTGTGAAGGCTAGGACTATAACAGGGTTTGAAAGAGAACTAGATAAATTCATGGAGGTTAAGTCCATTAATGGCTGTTAGCCAGGATGGGTAAAGAATGGTGTCCCTAGCCTCTGTTTGTCAGAGGATGGAGATGGATGGCAGGAGAGAGATCACTTGATCAACACCTGTTAGGTTCACTCCCTCTGGGGCACCTGGCATTGGTCACCGTCAGCAGACAGGATACTGGGCTGGATGGACCTTTGGTCTGACCCAGTATGGCCGTTCTTATGTTCTTATGTTAAACAGTAATAAGTCTCCAGGACCTGATGGTATTCACCCAAGAGTTCTGAAGGAACTCAAATGTGAAATTGCAGGACTACTAACTGTCATCTGTAACTTATCATTTAAATCAGCTTCTGTACCAAATGACTGGAGGATAGCTAATGTGATGCCATTTTTTATAAAGGGCTCCAGAGGTCTCCCTGGCAACTACAGTCCAGTAAGCCTCACTTCAGTACCGGGCAAATTGGTTGAAACTATCATAAAGAACAAAATTGTCAGACACATAGATTAACATAATTTGTTGGGAAATAGTCAACATGCTTTTTTTTTAAAGGGAAATCGTGCCTCACCAATCTACTAGAATTCTTTGAGGGGGTCAACAAGCATGCGGACAAAGGAGATCCAGTGGATATAATATACTTAGATTTTCAGAAAACCTTTGACAAGGTCCCTCACCAAAGGCTCTTAAGCAAAGTAAGCAGTCATGGGATAAGAGGGAAGGTCCTCTCATGGATCGGTAACTGGTTAAAAGATAGGAAACAAAGGGTAGGAATAAATGGTCAGTTTTCAGAATGGAGAGAGGTAAATAGGGTGTCCCCCAGGGGGTCTGTACTGGGCCCAGTCCTATTCAACATATTCATAAATGATCTGGAAAAAGGGGTAAACAGTGTGGTGGCAAAATTTGCAGATGATACAAAACTACTCAAGATAGTTAAGTCCCAGGCAGACTGCGAAGAGCTACAAAAGGATCTCACAAAACTGGGTGACTGGGCAACAAAATGGCAGATGAAATTTAATGTTGAGATATGCAAAGTAATGCACATTGGAAAATATAATCCCAACTATACATATACAATGATGGGATCTAAATTAGCTGTTACCACTCAAGAAAGATCTTGGAGTCATTGTGAATAGTTCTCTGAAAACATCCACTCAATGTGCAGCAGTAGTCAAAAAAGTGAACAGAGTGTTGGGAATCATCAAGAAAGGGATAGATAAGACAGAAAAGATCATATTGCCTCTATATAAATCCATGGTATGCCCACACCTTGAATACTGCGTGCAGATGTGGCACCCCATCTCAAAAAAGATGTATTGGAATTGGAAAAGGTTCAGAAAAGGGCAACAAAAATTATTAGGGGTATGGAACGGCTTCCGTATGAGGAGAGATTAATAAGACTGGGACTTTTCAGCTTGGAAAAGAGGCAACTAAGGGGGGATATGATAGAGGTCTATAAAATCATGACTGGGGTGGAGAAAGTAAATAAGGAAGTGTTATTTACTCCTTCTCGTAATACAAGAACAAGGGGCCACCAAATGAAATTAATAGCAGATTTAAAACAAATACAGGAAAGTATTTTTTCACGCAACGCACTGTCAACCTCTGGAACTCCTTGCCAGAGGGTGTTGTGAAGGCCAACACTCTAACGGTGTTCAAAAGGGCGCTAGATAGATTCATGGAGGATAGGTCCATCAATGGCTATTAGCCAGGATGGGCTGGAATGGTGTCCCTAGCCTCTGTTTGCCAGAAGCTGGGAATGGGCGATGGGATGGATCACTTGATGATAACCTGTCTGCTCATTCCCTTTGGGGCACCTGCCATTGGCCACTGTCGGCAGACAGGATACTGGGCTCGATGGACCTTTGCTCTGACCCAGTATGGCCGTTCTTATGTTCTAAGGGTCATCTCCGGTCAGACGCAACCGTTGTGGGGTGGTTTATACTTTCCACCGAAGCAGCTGGGGCTGGGGCTGCTGTTGGAGACGAGCTAATGAGCTAGCTGGAGCCCTGCTCTGGCTGTTGTTCTGCCTCAGCCATCACTGGGCGTTATGTCCATCCTCCCGCCGCATGGTCTTCTCGCCGAGGCCCTGCTTTGGGATCAGAATTTCCCTGCCCACAGCCAGGTCTGAGCACAGTCACTGCCAGCACGGTGCCGTCGTGGGTGCTCTGACCAGCTGCTCGGTCCCATCTGCTCCGGTGTGGTGCTTGGTCTGCTCTGTGGACCTGGGACTGGCGGTGTGAACTCTCCTCTCCAGTCATGCCTCAGCCCAGCACAACGGGGAGGCAGCCGGACTCGGGACTGTGGCTACCCAGGCGGGAACACAGTGGAGCTGCAGTGGGGTGGTTCTCGCAGGGCAGATGGGACCGTAGAGGGCTAGTGAACAACATGGGGGTTGGGAAAAAATCCCCTGCCTGCCCTCAGGGAGACCTTGGTAGTGACATCATCTAAACCCACCGCCCCGCCTGCCGCTGGGACACCTCTCCCAGGGCACGAGGGTGCTCCTCTGTGAACAGCGATCTCTGGCTGCTTTCCAGAAATCGAGTACCTGCAGTCGGTCCTGCCCAGCACTATGGAGAAGGCTTTCTTCGATTACCTGCGCACCGTGGACGCCTCCGAAGTCACCGTCTCCTCTGTGCCGGAGGGCTCCATCGTCTTCGCCACGGTGGGCGTTAGTCATAGCAGCCGCGCAATTCGGTGTAAAGCAGGCTGAGAACTCTCAGGCAGTCTCTGTGAATCATTCCTGAGTCAGGGTGGCCTAGTGGATAGAGCATTGGACTGAAATTGGCGAGATCTGGATTCTATTCCTGGCTCTGCCACTGGCCTGCCTGGGCAAGTCACGTGACCCCCTCCGTGCCTCAGTATCCCCATCTGTGCAATGGGGATAATGATACTGACATCCTTTGTAAAGCACTTTAAGATCTATTGGTAAAAGGTGCGATATACAGGCTGGTTACTATTGTTATATAATGTGGGTGGCTTAACCAATACATTTCGCCTGGCTTCTCTTCCACTCCCATCTCTCACCTGTAAGTTTGATTGTTCACCCAGGGCTCAGAGCTGAGAACAGAACCCAGGAGTCCTGACTCCAAATCCTGTGATTCTCCTACTAGACTGTCCTGCCCCTTTGTGCTGGACTTGCAGTTTCTTCTGCAGTGGGCGGGGTGTGGATGCAGCCGCTGTTTGAATGTCTCAGTCTGTAGGCACGTGTGCATCGCACCAGTGGAAAAGAGTGAGAGCTGGTGCAATGAGAGTTCAATCAGATTCTGGCTGCGTTAGCTGAAAACCGGCTTGACTTTGGGTTTAGTTCACACTGGTTTCTTCAAGACCAGAAAGATGAACTTGTCCTGCAAACTAAGGCATGCACTGAGTGGAGTGTTCTTAGGTAAATAAAGCAAGGCCATTTCCCTCCAAATATCAGAGTCTTATTAAAAGACTCTATCTGCTCTATAGGAAAGGAAGGTGCTAGTCTGGAGAGGATGGAGGCTTCTGGCTTCCAAAAATAGTCAGAGAAAAGTCCCTAGAAGGAGGAGCTACAGAAAGAGAAGGGAAATACAGAATGATTGATGGACTAGCCCATATATAGCTACACAGGAATATTCAAGGTGGGAGCCTGGTAGTTAAAGGTCTCCAGACTTTGTTCGGCAGGAGCTGAGGACTGAATGTTCGTGAGAAACGGAGTTACCCCAGGTCACAGAAAGGCATCTCTGCAGACCATTTGAGGATGTCCACCCGTTCCTGGAGAGCCCGGGATTCCGGCTTGTGCGATCAGTTCTAGGGAGAACTGAGTAAAACCAGACTTAATAAGTGGGGGGGCCCTTCCTTTGTCTCCAGCCAGATGTTCCCCCTTGTACTGGGACTCCATCTGGTAGAGAGAAGACCCCAAGGCTCCTGAGGTCTTAGAAGCCCAGCTGGAGTAACATCACTGACCTCCTTTGTAAAGGGCTTTCTGATTGACAGGCAAAAAGTTCTGTATAAGAGCTGGTATCTCCAGCTAAGGGTCCTGTATCGCACGCAGCACTACAGCTAAAAACTGAAAGTCCCTGCAGGAGAAATGCTAGAGAAATTCCAAGGCGATTGCAGCCACGGGGGCTTGTGTGGGCCAGCAAGGGCCGGGGTGGGCGTCAGGGAGGCCGCGGCAATTGAGGTGGGAGAGGAGGGGAAAGGCGGGAGACATTGAAGGCACGGAGGGGAGGGATAAGGGAGGAGGCGAAGATGTGGGTCAGGTTCTGCGCCAGGCTGACTGAGGATGGTGATGGAGTCAGCTGTGCTAGAGAAGCGGGGCAGCCACAGAGCCCGGGTGTGTGACACGGCCCAGTCCTAGCCCGGGAGGGGGCCCGTTGCTTGGAACCCAGTGACGTGCTGCTTGCGGCGCATCGCTCTGGCGGCTTTGCCGGCATGGTGAGGACGTGGCGGTGAGTCCCGCGAGAGCGTCGGCCAGATGTGGGGGCCAGGTGCGGCTTTGAGGCACCGGGCCAGGGAGCGGGGGTGGGGTGAGGAAGAGAGATGAGCTGGGGCGAACCCCCCTTTTCCCACGGCTCTTCCCCTGCAGGTTCCGCTATTGCAAGTGAAGGGGCCGCTGCTGGTGGTGCAGATCCTGGAGACCACGCTGCTGTGTCTGGTCAACTACGCCAGGTGAGAGGCTCCGGGACACACAGCTTTGTGGGTGTAGCATCCCCAGGGCGGCACCTGCTGGTTTGTTGTAGGGTCCCCAGGGCCCTGCTGCGACACACGCTGGGTGGGGGCTGTAGGGTCCCCTGGGCACTGGGGCAATGCAGTGGGGGCTGTAGGGTCCCTTGGGTGCGGCATGTGCTGGGTGGAGCTGCAGGAGCCCCTGGGGCTTCAGGAGCCCCTGGAGCGGCATGTGCTGGGTGGGGCTGTAGGGGCCCTCGGGGTGGCATGTGCTGGGTGGGGCTGCTGGGGCCCCTGGGCACTGGGGCGATGCACTTGGTGGGGGTCCCTTGGGGGCGGCACATGCTGGGTGTTAGATGAAGGGTTCCAGCCACTTGTGAACATTTCCTGCCCCGCACAAGGGCGGCGCAGGTGTCTGTGCGCTGATCCCCGGCTGCGTCTCTGCTCTTCCCGCTCCCATTGGCTGTGGTGCTCCAAAGTCTCCCGTGTGTCCCCTCGGGTCTCCTCATCCATCTCGCCCTCCCCGCCCCTGAGAGCTGGAGCCCTGTCCCTCTCCCCCACCGCACCCTCCTCGTCCTGACCCCCAGGTGGGCTGCCTGGTGCTTGGCTCCACATTACTCCCCCTGTAACTCAGATCCTCCAACCTGATCCGTCCGCAGCTCCAGTCACGGCCCTCTGGCTCCCACATGGTCTGGTCAAACTGATCCGCCCTCTGAGCCTCCCAGCATGTGTCCCTGTGTCATCTGCCCCTGTCAGCAGGGAGCTCATGGGCGTGGGGCCTGACCCTTCCTGGGCCTTGCTTGGTGTCCAGCCGGGGTCGGCGTTCAGGGAATATTTGGGTTTTTCCTTTTCCAGCCTTGTGGCCACTAACGCTGCCCGGTTCCGCATGCTCGCTGGCCCAGACAAGAAGCTGCTGGAGTTGGGGCTGCGACGTGCCCAGGGCCCGGATGGGGGCCTTTCTGCATCCAAGTACTCCTACATAGGGGGTGAGCTTAGCCCAGGAGCCAGGTCGGCGTGCCAGCTCCTCGCAGCAGGGCATTCCCTGTCCCCTTTGCTCCCGTTCGGGCTGAGTTCCCCTCGCCCACGTGCCCCCGATCTCTCCGTTCCAGGCTTCGATTGGACCAGCAACGTGCTGGCAGGGAAGCTGTACGGGGTTCCGGTGCGGGGAACCGTGGCCCATTCCTACATCATGTCCTTCTCGTCGCTGGCGGAGGTGCAGCCCCGGGTTCGTGTCCCTGCCGGGGGGGGGCAGGGGGTGAGGATGGATTCGTTTAATAACTTCGCACGGCGATGAGAGGGGGCGGAGGCCTGTGCTGTAGTCTGGGGCTCTCACCCCTTCTCTTAGGAACTATTCAGCTTCAGTTCTCCCCACCCGGATGGTTCCATCCTGCTCCCCGTAGTTGTCCGCCTAACCGTGGTGTTCGTGCCTAGATGCTACCCTGACACATGCTATGGGAATGCACCGCTATCGTTGCTCGGGTGATGGGCATGTCATCGGAGCACACTAGACCCTGCAGAGCACCATCCTGCTGCCTCCTCGGAGCATTGCATGCTGGGATTTGTAGTGTCCCTGGGGCACCACCTGTGGCTTGAAAAACTGACAGTGGTCACAGTCTTGCTAGCTTCACGCAGCTCAGGAACACCCCCTGGCCTCCTGGCAGTGGCCACCAGCCCCCTCAGTTTGGGCACTTGGACATAGCTGAATGGCCTTTGGGCATCATTATTGCCTGCATTTAGGAATTATCTCTACGGAGCTGCTGCTTCAGAGCCAGCAGGGGGCTGAGGAATCTCGAGATGTGTTTTTACAGGCCCTACCGAAAGCGGGCATTGTAGATGATGCGATTGGTACCATGGAGGTGCTGTTTCCCATGCAGACCCTGAAGCCCCTGGACGGAGATGAGCCGGTGGATTTCCTGCCCCTTGCTGAGTCGTGGCTGAGGCGAGTGTGCCAGACGCTGCGGGTCCCCCACGACAGAGTGAACCACGGGGAGCTGGCTGCCTTCGTGTCGTACGCCATCGCCTTCCCCCACAACTTCCAAGGGCTGGTGGACACTTACTCCATCATGGGGTGAGGAGCCGAGGGGCGGCGGTGGCCTTTTCCGAGCATGCTCGATGCTTCGTGATTGTTGCACGGCACCTGGATTCCACGGTGACCGATGTAAGTGATGTCCCATCGACTGCGGGAGCAGAGATGGTGAACGGGGTCAGATTGGGTCCAAATGGGCTGTGGGTTTATATATAAAGTGTATGTGGGGTTAAGAAGCCGGCAGGGGGGAGCAATGCCAGGGCAGCTGGTTAAATGCAGGATCTCTGAGACGATGTCTTAGAACCCAGCTGGGACCCCTCCCGTGTGTTCCGTCTCTTGTGCATGGCGGGCGGTCCTCCATTCCCACACGCTGGGGATAGGACAGCTCTGACGATGCTGCAGAGCCTCTGGTACTGACTGCCCCGGGGAATCCCTCTCTCCTGCTCTCCTCTTTGTCCTTGCCTTGACCTGGATGTGGAACCTCGAATCGCCTCCTGCCCCTGACCTGAACACAGCCTGCTTGGCCCATCTCTGCCGCTCCGTGTCACAGAGGGCGGCGTTCCCAGGCCTTTTTGCCAGCCAGACCCATCCTCCTCCTTACTGTTGGCAGGAGTGGCATCCCAAACTTCTGCGCCGTGGCGCTGGCGTTGAACCAGCTGGGATACCGCACGGTAGGGATTCGCGTGGACAGCGGAGACCTCGGCAAGCAGGCGAGGGAGATTCGCCAGGTGCTCCGGACCTGCAGTGCCGAGTGAGTGCCATGCTGCTAAGCAGACGCTATTACCCCTCTGCTGGGACACAGAGTCCTTTACCTAGACTTTGCACGGGGGCCTCCTATGTGGGGGCAGTTACTGACCCTGGACGATGGCCCCTCCTTACTCGCCATGTGTAAGAGTCAGCTGAGCAGTCAGATCTTACCCAACCAAAAGGAGGGTCGGTCGGTCTGTCTGTCTGTCTTCTGGGCTGGATTTTCAAGAATTGGACCCCCTAACTGCCTTACCGCGCCCAGCCCAGCCATAGTTTATAAGCGCTGCACGGCAGAGACAGCGCCTTTCTCTTATGTTTTAAAAGCATCCAGGAGATTTGGATGTTACCAAACCTAGTAATAAAAGATTAGGCTGATGATGATGGCACTGCAGGAACAAGGGAGCTGGATTCCCTTATGGCTTATGTTTCACTAAGAATTGTTCACTGATTCCCGGTCACGGAGTCAAGTTCTCCGCCCTCAGTGGGACCCCATGAAAGACGATGGGGTTGCGCAGATGCCACTGAAAGAAAAATTTGGCCTGCAGCTTCTTTGTGATTGGTGATGCTGCACAAACCCAAAAGAGCCCAGCTTGACTCTCAGATCCCTGGGGCAGTTTCCAGGGTGCCCATGTTGCGGGGGGGGGGGGGCGACTTTTATAAACTGAGCAAACTGTCCCGATTTCTGGCTGGGCTGAGAGCCGCGATGGGGACACACACACTCATCCACCCTCCGGGATTCAGATCTAGCAAAGCTTCAACCAACCTGTGCCGTAAGCTCAATGCTGGGGCACCTGTCCCTTGTAAGAATCCTGCAGCCGTTTATAGCGACTCACTTCCATTGTGTCCAGCTTCCAGGTTCCCTGGTTTGCGACCATCCCCATTGCTGTGAGCAATGACATCAGTGAAAGGAACCTGGAGGAGTTAATGCAGGAGGTAAGATGGTCCTAGTTCTAACCGGCCTCTTGGAGGTGGTGGTTCAAGCTACAGCTTGTTTGGGAAACTGTCTAGGGGCTTGTCTACACATGACCATTAATCTGGACTAAGGCAGGGTGTGAATTTAAGTGGATTAACTATTCCTGATTAACTCCATGTGTAGTTGCTCTTATTCTGAATTAATTTAATCCATTTGACAAATGGATTCAGCTAATTTGGAATAAGGCGCTTGGAATAAGAGCATCCACACGTGGTGTTAATCCGGAATCGCTATTCTGGAATAACTGTGTGTGTAGACAAGCCTGAGGAGCGAAGAGACTGAATCTGCTGCCTTCAGACACGGGGGAACGGGAGGGTTCTTAGCCGGGCAGGTAGACAAACACTTGGGCACCTGGTTACCTACAGGCAGACAAGCCCTTAATCTGCGTGTTCCCATGAGCTGTCCAGGTGGGCATGTGCTGCTCCCTGATTGCGACCAGCCTGTGGCCTTCCCCACCATCAGGGAAGAACTTGTAGCTATGCAAGGGAAGAGAGATTAATCAGGCCTCTTGGTTCGGGGCATCAGTAGATTGCAGGACGTTCCCCATTGGCCAGCAGCGGCTTTGGGGTGGGAGTCTGCCATCCTCTGGAGCTTCAGGCTTTGCCACTGTCCGCGACTACCAGGCTAGTGGCCCAAGGCTCTGCTCCCAAGTGGGAACCGCTATTCCTGCCTGTGCCCTTCTGGGAACCCAATGGGGAGCCCTCTGGGGCCAGACATACCGTGTTCCTATTCAGTGACCATGTTCCCAAAGATGGGGAACAGCCAGAGACCCTGTGATCACAGAAGGGAGGGCAGAGGTGGCTGGTCCAGGACTTGGGCAGGAAGATGATGGGGGTTCTGTCCCCTCATCCGAGGGGTTTTCCTCAGCGGGGAGCTTCTCGCTATGGGGTGCTACCTTTGTGAGCCGTGTCCCAGCCCCATGCCAGCTGGTGGAGGGAGGCTCTTCATACAGCACAAGGGAGAAAGAATTGTCCAGTGGTTAGAGCAGGGCAGGGGGGTCTGGGACTCCTGGGTTTGACTCCCAGCTCTGCCACTGACTCATTGTGTGGCCTTTAGCATTGAACTCCCCCTGCCCAGGGGTGTCGTGGGGCTTGGCTGATGTCTGTAAAGAACTCGAGATCCTCAGAGGGAAGGTGCTAGCAAGGGGCAGAGGTTGTAATCTCTTCAGGGCAAGTTAGTACAGCACCTAGCGCAGTGGGGTCCTGGGCCAGGCAGGACTGAGGCTGCTAGACACTGCCGCGATGCAGCCAACAAGTAATAAGGGTAATAGCAACTCCTTGTCATCTGTCTCCTCTTCTAGGGGAATGAAATTGACATGATCGGAATTGGGACCAATCTGGTGACGTGCCCGCTGCAGCCCTCTCTGGGCTGTGTTTACAAGGTAACCTCCTCGCTGGGGTAGTCCAACAGGAGCCCATCCACAGCTCTGTTACTCTACACACACACACACACACACACACACACACACACGACGGTAGTTCAGTGACAAACCTAGCTAATT